ACGAAAAGAATTTATGTTTATTTTATCGTCAGTTGAACATCGGCACGATGATGTACTCCCCCACATGGCCGCTTAGACGTCACATGCAAACACTCCTTTTATATAATTATATGGACAAAATAGACAAATATTTGCATAGAACTATTTCAAGAGAGCATAGTGATTCCTTGAAGGAATAAAAGATTTAAATAATCCATCAATTTTTAGTAGACGGAGTTCAAAAGCACGTGTGTCATGTAAAATGAAACATTTATATTAATTTTTGTAAAAATCTATTGTTTTTACAGTAAGTGAACCAAGAAAAATTTACAACATTGCATGACCAAATAAGGGACCTGACCACGTCACTGAGTTAATGAACAAATACACAGCAAAAACTCAGAATAAAGTGACCTTGATTTCAGTTTATTTCACAGTTCATTAGGTACTCCCCCCTTTTCATAGGTACAGTTCACCAACAAATCATCACCCTCTTCCCCAGTCTCCTGAATAAGACGTCGGAGTAGGTAATCAATTGATTCACTTGCAGAGGACTCACAATCTGATAATTCGCTGTAAGAGGATTCACCATCTCATGATTCATTGTAGGAGGAGGACTGTCCATTATATGATTTGCTGCAGGAAAATTCACCATTAGATGATTTGCTGTCGTAAGATTCAACGTTAGATGATTTGATGGTGGAGATTTCACTGGCTGATGATTTGCTAGCGGAGAAAACGCTTTTTGATGATTCTCGGTTAGAAAATTCACCATAAGGTGGTTCGCTTTCACAGGATGCCACATCAGATGATTCGCAGCCCCAATATTCTCCATTGTATGATTTGCTGTAGAAATATTCATAATAAGATGATTCGATGTTGGAGGATTTACTATCTGATAATTTTTCATCTGATAATTTTCATCTGAGAATTCACTATCTGATGTCATACTAGAAGAGGATTCATCATCTGATAATTCGCCATGTGAGAACTCTCCATTTGATGATTCGACATCTGATGATTTGCCATCTGATGATTCGCAATATGAGACTTCTTCATCTGATGATTCAGCATCTGATGATTCACAATCTGATGATTCACCATGTGATGATTCACCATCAGATGATTCACCATCTGAGGATTCACCATCTGATGATTCACCATATGAGACTTCTCAATCTGATGATACATCATCTGATGATTCACCATCTGATGATTTGCTAGCAGATAAATTGCCATCGGATGATTCCTCAATGGAGGATTCACCATCTAGTGACTGGTAAGTGGAAGATTCACCATTAGATGATTTGCCAGAAGAGGATTCTCTATCTGATGATTTGCTAGTTAAAGATTCTCTATCAGATGATTCATCGTCAGATGATTTGCAATTAGAGAAATTTTGTGTGAGTTGTGAGATGAATGGTCTGTACCATCTGGTGTGAATCTACGTTCATGATTCACCTAAAGAGAGTTTAAGTACTTAATGTTAAGAAAATATGAGCATAACGACATATTTAAAGTATAGAAATAAAGAATATCTCAACAAAAACTACCTAATTGTAAACGACTATATTATTGTTTTGTTTTGTTTTGATTTAGCCATGTGCACCTTCAGAGGTGATGGGTTTGTAAAAATAAACTCAAAGTCAAGGCCTGTTTACTTATAATGTCCGCAATTTTATTTGTCCTGTCTGTTTTTAGTTTTACTTTCTAAGTTTTTATGTCCTCTTTAAGCCGGGGTATTCTTTTGAAATGTCAGAATGTCAATGTGCAATTGACATTATATAACAATTTTGTAAAATACAACTCATGCATGTGTGTTTGATTATAAAACGAACCAATTACAATGTACTAATTGGGTTCCCTTATCCCTCGACCGCGTGAAGATCAATTATTAATTCACGCTGATCTGCTCATCAAATATATTTTGCGTAAAACTTTTTGCTTCATTAAGGACACTGATTTATCACAATTTTGAGTTATTAGTGACAAGACGAAACTTTGTTTTCTCCTCCTCACTGTTTTGCAAGAATTGGTTTTCACTTTTCTAGTGTTCATTGTTTCACGTAAATAGAAATTAGCTTTTACAATATAATAATAATTTTTTGTTCAGCAAATATGTGAAATGCATCCCTAACCATCACATGAGAAATACTTTATCACATCAGACAAGATAGGCAGAAACTGGGCTATTTTACAGGGCAATACAGGAAAACTTGGACTTCACGAAACAAATTAGAGAGAGTAAATTCGCTAAAAAAATGGATGACCTATCTACATTCTCGACATTCGACACTCATGTTTCAGCCAAATAAAGATTCACTATCACAGCAAATACTTCCAGTGTTTAGAACTCGCTCCAAATGGCATTAGAAAAAGCTAGAACACGAGCAAAAAGGCTGGTCATCTCATAAAAATTTAGGATTAATTTGAACAAAATAATATAACAGTCTAAAAGGACAAATTTAAAAAATCACGTGGACCCATAAACACCGCCAAAATTGCAGAGAATTCTCACCAGAAAAACAAGATATTGATGGGTCCTATTTCTCAGACAGCGAAGAAATCGAAGTTAAAAATGACGGTTACTTGAAATTTAAAAGAAAGATAGATAAAGTTTATATGCACAAAATACTGTATACGATATAAATTATCTGCTCAACAAGCAATCATATAATTTGGACAACGTAAGTCTTATCTTACTGTCAGAAGCTGCTTCTAGAGATTAGAATTATCAAAAATCGTTTAAGCAAGACAACAGCCTTAGTACTGCAAACCAACGACAACTTGCAAAATTGGCAATCTAACGTTGGATAAGGAAAAGTCTTGGACCAGAACACTTTGTACAAAACATCCAGCAAACCTCTCTAAATATAGCCCCAATCACTGTAAATTTTGATTTATAGTCATCACTTAAAAACATCAAAGAAAGCGGATCTTACTTTTGCAAATAATCAACAAATCTTGGGAAATGTTGTTTTTGTAAACCTGAAAATTAAAAATAAAGGCTGAAAATAGACGAACCGTAAACCAAACTTCTTCTCATGAATTGTATAGATTCTGTCGCCTTTTAGACTATGTGTATAATGTTGTATCTTGCGTACGGCGAACCAGTATAAAGGCAATTTCGAAAGCTTATTAGACAAACACATGTAATAATACTGAAAACACAAGCAATTTGCTTTTTGGAGACGATATAGAATGCGAGATTCTAAAGAAACAAGCAAACTTAATTCGATGTTTGCTAGCCCTTATATAGCTGGAAAAGATCATATTCTTCCAGGTTCTCTGTTAAAACAACTATAATCAGGGCGTATTTTCAAGGAAAAAACACTTTCACTTGGAGGACAACCGAGAAACAGGAAATAATCAGACAGCGGAAAGAATAAAGCAAAATGTAAAAATTTTGGTTCTTATATAGTGCCAAGCTCACATAAAATATTCACAAAGAAGTGTGGAAAACTTTCAGTAGGGAAATCTGTCCATTTTTCTGTATGGCAAAAATACCACTATCATTTCTTATATTATGGGTATGTCAATTGAATACAACCGGCAAATCTTACCAATGTTTTTAAACGTAATCTCGAATCGGACTCATACTTAACCCAATACTTAATCGTTCTGTCGCAAAATTGGTCATCTACTGGTAAATTTTTTTAAATTTCAATATATTTTCAGTAACTACGCCCAAACCAAGATTATGCCACGCCCACTTTGTTGGCAAATTTGACGCTCTGACCCCCCTACCCCTCAAAAAAACACAGACTTCACTCTCCACTTCTTTACGCTCCTGAGTGCGTGGAGAACTCAACTACCACAACAGTGTTATTAACAGAGCTTAGATTCATCATTCACCGTGCCAAATCATCATTTATCCCTCAAACAGAAATAGTTATTCTAGGATTTGTGTTGAATTTAATAACAATGACTGATAAAATCACCAAAGAGAAAGCTCTTACGATGAAGAAGCTTTGCTCTGAAGTGTTGCACACGCAGTCGATCACAATTTGTAGATTAGCTAGAGTCGTTGGGAAGTTAGTCTCCGATTATCTTGGGAACTGGGGTTATGTCTGGCCTGCTTTACTTCAAAAACAATGATCAGTTTGAAACACTTGCTTCAAAGAAGGAAAAGATAAAGTTTAACGAAACGACAATACTTTCCCTATCTTGCACACAAAGAATTAACTTGGAGAGTGGAGCAACGTCGCAACTTACAAAAATGTAACATGTAAGAATGAGGTCACATTTTTCATTACAACAGACGCATATCACATCAAGCTAATGTATGGGACATACAATGACAAAAGGACTACCGAGAGGATGCACATCAACTATCTAGAAATCTTTCTCTTAGGCTTAAAAATATTTGGTCAGAACAAGTTACATGTTCACATTCGATTAAGAGTGGACATTACGTTAGCAATGAACATAACAAATAAAATAAGCTTCCGAGCTTAGCTCAGGAGGAATTTGGAAATGGCGAATAGCACACGTATGGATAAGTGATTCTCATTCCTGGCAGCAAATAGTTTGTAGCCGATTATGAGTCCACTGCTTGAGACAGTTAAACCATTGTCAAACCAGTTACATCCCGTTTTACGATGCATACCGACCAGATTACGAAGACTAAATACGCATGCCGAAGGGTTCTTACGCGACTCCTTCGTTCTTGACTGATGACTTGTAGCATCCAAATCAAACTTCAACCTTTGCTAAGTTTTGTTTAATTTAGATGTATGCTTGGGTATAGCGTGGTATATCCCTGGGCTGTATCGAGATATTAGTTAGAGATTGTATTAGTGTTCAATTTCGTGTATTGCAAATTATTGTCATATTTGCGTCTCATGTTTTTGCTACATTATGTTCAGTAATTATCATGACTCCTGAAATCAACCAATCATCGTAAAGAATAAACAGTACTACCACTTTTGGTATGTAAGACGTCATTGTGTCTTGTGGTTATGTACTTATGATTGATGTTTCTATGGCGTGTTCTCGTGTGGAAGACGATAGGAGGGAATGGAAGTGGAAGTCCAACACTGTGTTACTGCAAAGCAGTTTGTTAGGTAATTTTGATAATTTAACATGTTTAAACCATTGTTTGTTGCTGAAAGTGTTCATCAAGGAAATGAAATGTGAACGACCAATGTTTAAATAATACGTTTGATGTTTATAAAACGATTATACAATGAAAATTACCACCTACATTTCGTAGCACTTCATTGTCTAATGGATATTTCTCGTTGATGTATTTTATTTTTACATTAAACAATACAATTTAGGCTGTTCGAAAAACGTGCGAATTGCACATTGTTTGTTATAGATTCTAAAAGTTTAACTTTTGAGTAAAAAAGTTGCAGTACATTCTTTTAAACTGCACATTTTTTGGTGTATAATTATTGTATTGTGATTTCACCCAAATGCAGATGAGAAAAGCGTTGAATCCGTGTACGAAATTATTCGGATAGGTGGCGTGGGATCTTTCTAAACGTAGGGAATGACTCGTCATAATTTCCTTGGGAATATTTAATGTAAGGAGTAAACGTGTTAATCTCGGCATGATTACTAGTTTCAATGTAAACAGGTTATTTGTACCAAGAATCGAAGATAGTACAAAGGTTTCTTTGTGCTTCGGCTTTTGAGATGAGTCGTCATCCGTATCGGAATTATTAGTGGAGGTCTCAAATATTTTGATGTTATTAGCTTGCGAGCATTGGTTAATTATTGTCTTTCTTGGATGTTGGTATTCTCGATATTCTCTATTTTGTCCTTAGAGATGCGAACTTCTCAGGATATAACTAGTTATAGTGTTGTGATACTTTACTTTGTTGAAATATTATTATACATATATAGCACTGTTAAAATATATAGTTTATGATCATTAACTATTAATATTTCATAAATATTTAATTTGTTTTTACTACTGTTCTCATTTCTCATTTCAGGGACTTGTGGCTGAAATTGTGTGAATGTGCACTCACTGTTACACTGTATCTGATGGCACTATTTGGTTTATTTTGATTTGTTCACTGTGAATTTTACCATTTGTCTCTTGGTTAAAGTTTATGTACTCCCAGGTCATCTTATCATGGTTCTATTGGTTCAGTGTTTATGTATTCCTGTGTGTCTCATCATGGTTCTACTGGTTAATGTTCATGTATTCACTTTATATCTCATCATGGTTCTACTGGTTAATGTTCATGTACTGACTGTATGTTTCTCATAAGAACTGAAAGGTATGATATATGCATATACATCATGTAAATCTACACTAGCTAAACTAGCATTAAAACTTCAGAATAGCTTTAAACATTTTTAAGCAAAATTGGGTTTAAACTTTGAAACATCAAAGTCTCTAAGAAATAAAAAGGCTTGTCTTCAAGTAGAGACCCCCTGCTGTCAAAGTTTGACATTTAATTACCATAACTGCTTGTTTTTGCTTGGATCCTGAGTGCAGCAGTCAAATGGGAGCCATGCCAAGGGTATGACATGCAAATGAAGCTGCACCCATTTTAAGGGTCAAGTTCACACAATGCTCTTATGGTAAAGTTAGAAAGGTAATATATTTTTCTCTACTGAAAGTGATGAATGTAAAAATTCATATGCAAGTGCAACAGTGTTAAACTTGGTCAGCAAATTGATAAGACTTCAAATAAGAAAACCAATCAAACACAAAGCCAGAATCAATGTGGCATAGTGCAGACTCAACACCAATCTGGAATAAAACTCTGACATAAACACATCATGTGAACTGAGTCAACCATTTGAGTTTCATATCTGCATCATGTGACCAGGTCTTCGTGTGCTCATTTTAAAAAATTTACTTACCGAAAGAAGTCTCTGAATTTTCAAACTCTGTGTTTTAGGATTTTTTCCTCTGTAAAGCAAATAAAAATAGTACTGCATTCATTTAGAGTAATTGTTGCCGATTACTTTTATTCTTATTTTGTAAAATATTTATAGGCATTTCAGTACACCAAATACTGTTATGAACAAACATAAATAGCATAAAAATTCTAGATCAAATTAACCATGCAATACTGTCAATCAAAACATCAACTTTTAGCCTTTATAAACCCATACATTGTGTATAAAAGAAAGAATACCATTAAGAATTGACGAAGTGTTAAGCTTTTAATTCCTGATGAGTATGCTTCTCCCACTGATGCATTATTGATTATTGAACTGATTTTTGCTGTTAGAAGTTAGTAATAAATTCCCAGGAGCAGAAAAGCTTTTGTGCTAATAACAAAGATTTATAATATGAGCATGTATCTGACAATATTTTATGTGCTTGCAGACTTAGTATGGTAATAGGCATTGAAATTATACCATACATGAATTTCCAAAGTTATTTTTTATACACCCTGCATAAATACAAATAATGGTCTCATTTAGTCTGTTGTAATATATTTTCTTTCCAATGATAGAATATTAAAAGTTTTGCTCTGCCACCATAGAAGCATTACATTACAATTTCAAGCTTGACTGCTGCCTGCCTGAGGGATGAGTTGTTATTAGTCATTAGCCTTAGGGATGAGTTTGTATTTTTGTTTTCTTTAAGTAAATAACATTGAGATTACTATCAAGATTCAAGTAATATTTTTAGGAAGCTCAGGCCTCTTATTCCCAAAGTTAGGCAGGTTGAGCATCCCAAGACAGACAGCTTGCCAACACAAGATATGAGTTATGTTACAAACAAGACTGTTCTGGAATATCAATGATTCTAAAATAGAGTCAAATATCATCTTGTTTTTTAATACAACTCATAACTTGAGTTTACAAGATGTCTTTGTTCATCAAAGTATGTTTCATCTTATATTTCTGAAATTGTCTGCTTGGAAAGGATTTTTAATATCTTGTCAAGGAGTAATCATTTTAGTTGTTGTGGTAATAAGAAATAAAAGATATTTACTGTATTTCCACAGGCTTATGTAAACCAGGGAGATGTTTGGGAGAAGCGGAGAGAGAATGAGTGCAAGCCTGACTTCAAAGTTTGCACCTGCTCACGAGTTTCACAAATGTCTCCAAAGCTTGCATAAGCCAGTGCTAACATGAAAAACATCTTTTATTTTTTTTTGAAATAAGAAATAGCAAGAAACAAAGAAATTTTAAATAAATGTTTTAATTTTCTTGTTAACATGTATTGATGATTATTTTGCAAATTCTCTTTGATTGACATAATTTATCAAGCTCACCTCAGTTTCACAGGCTAATAAAAACTCAGCCATTGTCCAAATAGCAGAAGTGTTTCATGGTTATTACATTAAATTATATGACATATATTTACCACCATACTTTTTCTTATTTAGAGACTTGCTTTCAAAGTTCAGTGGATTGAAATTTGCTATCGTAATTTTAATGGCTCTACTTTGTTAATGTTAATCTGCTCACTGTTTTTCTCACAAAAAGTATAAAAGATGAAGCGACTCAAAATGCCATGTGGTACGTATGTGTTTTAAACTGTTAATTGGCTTCCTCAAAAAGAACTATTTCAACTTAAGTGAACTTTGCCACCATTTTGCTCAAGAAGACTTGTATCTAGAAAATTATTCTGATGGTGTTGATTTGTATTTCAACTTTTTCAAATTAAGTCAGTGTAGTGTGTATATGATCTTCAGTTGTTCATCTTTAAGTGTTGCTTTAGAGTGCCATAGACTATCTCAGCATATCATTCAAGTTTTATTTGCCAACAATACATACATTCATTGGTGTAACTTAATTTTCTGACCATTTGCCCTTATTGTAAGTTGGACATTTAAATTGGTTGCTCTGTATAAAATTCACCTGGCATACAACACATTATCTATTAACAGTTGTAAGTCATTTGAGGATTTTCTGAAGGGTATCTTCTCCCAACTCCCCAATATTTATTAATGTTTAACTCAGATATTCAAACCTTATTTAATACTGTTATGTACATACCCACCAAGCATAAAGTTTATGACCATTGTGTTATTGTTTTCATTCTATGAATAAACATTTATTGACCAAACAAAGAAATGAAACTAACACAAAATTACTCCATTTTTCAGAAATATTAAACGTTATATTTTACTCTTTCGCTATAGCCTCGCACGACTTTAAAATTTACGACAATTTGTTTGTATGAAGTACGGCAATATTGAATGTGGTTAGTCGTTTTTGTTTTTGAATGTGGAGCAAAACTTACGAAAGTAACAAATATCTTATTAAATTAATGGTTCATTTCTTTTGTAAACACTGCTTAAAGATACTGAAATTATTAGTTAAGACTACAGAATAATTAAATTACACCTTGAAATCTATCAGGTCAACCGGACTTTTTTAATTTCGTGGTAAATTATTTTCGTTCTCGGGTGTGTATCAAAGAATATTTTATCAATGTTACTGTAAGCACCAGCCGACGTGCGCGAGCGAGATACATTGTTTAGAAAATCCTAACAGAATGGTTGCTATTGAAGATTACCTAGTCTTTTGTTAAAGGAAACCTGTGGTGTATTTGTACTTGACAGTTCGACGAACAACATTTAAACATGTTTCGGATTTCCGAAAATTGCTAAAACCTCGACAAATTACCAGCCGACAGGAATTTATTGCCCTGAAAATCAAATGTACTTAAAAATCGTTGACTTGACAGTACAAATAGCTTGAAGTGCACATTTTGACGGTTTTGAGTATCATTTTCTTCCAATATAGCTAAGGGTGAATAGAGCTCTTATCGCGTGCGAACTGAATTATAAAATGACTTACCTTACGTTTTTATCTTGTTTCCTAGATGAAATTTTTGGTACAAACGCGTGATCTATCACTTGCTCGTATGATTAAGTCCCATTTTGCGGCATATTCTCTGAATTTTGATGTTGCAATGAAAGAGTCACGACTGATTGTGTGACACAAACACTTAGATGTCACGGATGGACGACTACATTTATCAACAATATAGAACAGAATAAAATGTTTCACTCCAAATATCGTTCCATTTTAAACACAAAGTAGAGGTTTGCAAAAAAGTTTTTTTACTCAGTAAATATATCTCAGGGAAATAACTATGTATCAGCTGATGATGTCTTAAATAGAAGACGAAGCGTCATCTTTAAAACAAACCTTTTTCCACTATTGTTTGCTGTAGTAATTCAACATTTAGATTACGAGCTCTCATCTACAAAATGATAGTTGATGAGTACAAAGCCAAAATCAACTATCGCATCATGGAATTTGAGAGCGAGTAATCTAATTGTTTTAGTAGAATCATACTGGTATACATAAAGGAAAGTGTCGCTATAGTTTTCCTTGATTTGTTGTTTCATCAACACAACACAAAAAGAAAATTCCCATCTATAGATCCAAATTTTACCAGCGCTAAATCAATGAAGCTTGGTCAGCCTCTAAGGGCCAATTACATGAGCCTGGTAGCCGAGATTTAGCAAAGTGTTAATCATTTTGGTAAATAAAAAAGATTAAATACTTCACATAAAAAACTTATTTGAGCAACTTAAGATTTGCATGGAAAGCGCATTGTCACATCAGCCTAGTAGCTAAGTCAGCCCCCCGTCGAGGACCTTAGCCGCTCTTTTGGGGAATTCCTGGTGCCACCCCTGTTAGATCCATCTGTGATAGCAATTTTAATATACTTGACTGAGCTCCACGAAAAGCCAAAAGGTTTGCATATTCACAATAAACATGACTAGAAGCCATATCGGTATTCACACTACCTAGCAACAATAAACAAATTGTTTGCTTTTATCAAAGGTGCATTTCATCATCATTATTATATCATTCATACTACCTAGCAACAATAAACAAATTGTTTGCTTTTTATCAAAAGGTGCATTTCATTGTCATTACATTATTAAGCACATAGATCAATTCAAAGTATTTGACTATTTGTTAGTATAGCATCAGTGTTTTTGTTTTACTTCACCAAACAACATGTTAACAATGAATACAAAACTGACTAATTTACATCAAAACAACTAGCCTCAGCTCTGCACACTTTTCCATTGTTGTTAACATCTTTACAAAATGTTCCTTTAACAAATTCTTCAACAGTTGCAGGCTTCCCTTTGTAAACTGTATAGTATGCAAAGTTAAAAGTAAAGGATTTACCAAAGATTATCTGATGCTAATACAATATCGGTAAAAATCTCAAGGCATGGATTTGGCTCACTAGGGGTAATATGCAGCTTACATTTCTACAACTTTATTAGGTAACTGCAATGAAGTATTTTTTTTCTTTAAGTTAGGTTGTATTGCATATAAAAAGCTAATAGAAGCACAAGAGGACACAAACAATTGGTTAAACAATTATCTTCTACAAACAAAAAGGTGTTCAGAAAGATACCTTTCAGTTTTAATATTTTGCTCCAAAGATGATTCATTATTCTTATCAGCTGGAATGCTTTGCAGGTGTAGCCTAACAAAATATCAATAACATATCTATTGAAATTTTTAATATTGCTTTGCATGTGTCATCCAATACATCCTGACAGCCTAACATTTCAGTGGTAGAAGGAAAATGTAAAACCGAGGATGTTAAAAACCGACAGTAAATTACCAATTACGAAACTGCTAGCAAAAATCTGAAATAATGGAGCTTCCATATATTGTATAAACAATGAGGCCTCCTGTCATCACATAAATAATACAATAAAACATTGCTTACTTTGCTCAGGGCTTTTAGTATCAAGCACTCATTTGTTCAAAGAAACTTTGTGAAAGCCATAATAGTCTATAATATATACGTTATTGATCAATCTTCTTACTGGACTCACTCCCACTTGAACGAAGTATGCAGTTGAGTTTCATATTGATGCAAGTAATGGAAATTACAAACATGGATAAATACTTTCACTAAGACCATTTCAGAACAGAACGAAAGCAACAATCTAATTGACTCTATAAAGCGTTTACAAGTTCTTTCTCCTGCGCAACAATGTCTTTCTACACGTCAATTCTTCGACTGATGCTAGCAATCATGCCACTTGCTTTTAGTTGCTACGGTAAACAACAGCCTCGAGGCCCTCGACTATGTCGTCGCATGGCAGAAATTCTTCTTGTGAATCGCCAGTATGAGGACAAATCAACAGAATGATAATTCTCGTAAAAGAACAAGGAAGTGCTGCCGTATTCTAAATTACATCTGTATTATTTTCGATGTTCACTGCACACAGCAAGCGATACAGCAATTGTTTGACTCTGTCATTATCATCGAGTTACTTTATGAATATTACATGATGGAGGCTATGACGTCACAGACTTATTCGGCCTTCACTTTGCTTCTTTCTCAAAGACACAAGTACGAACTTCATCTCTTTCTATTTTATTCCTATCAAGCATCTGTTCATACGACTACTTTGTGGGAAAATTTTACGTATGTCAGTTATATTAAAATGCGTCGCTTAACAAACCTCGACAATATTTATTATTTGAAGTCATTGAAATTTTAACAAGCAAGTGTTGGTTGATGGCGAAAGTTGGCAAATTTCCCTGTAACTTTGGCTTCACGTTCAGGTTTGGATGATTCATAAACTATTTCCTAAAATGTAATAAATACTTACATTTATCATGAAATATATACTTTCATTTAGCTCTTGTGACATATTTATTAGCACATTTTAAAATATCTTAAGAGAAATGCATGCTTTGATCTGGATTTGTTATGGATGAACATGGCTGAATCCTTTGAAGTTGTTGATTATGTTGATATGTTCAACAGAGTTCGTACACAATACACAGAAAGTCCTCGAATTAATTAAGATGTCCTTCAAAGATCTTGGATTTCAATTTTTTTCAAATTTTTGTGACTAATTTCCTTTTCATCAGTGAATTTAAAAATGTAATCTTTATGTCGGAAATTTGAAGCAACAAACCAACATGGCGGCTTCACATCACATAACCAGTGAACTCCATATATATATATCTGGAATGATAACGACAATACATTTTATAGTTATAAAAGTGAAGCCAAAGTCCTAGTCTCTTGCGCGGTTTGTACGTCAGTTCCAGTCCTTCAAAGTCGAATATTCACGCGGCTTGTACGTCAGTATCATTCCCCTGAGTGCCAAACATACACGGCCAATATAAATTTGAATACAAATTGCAAAAGCATAAACATATAAACAACATCACGACAAACAACACACGAGGCCAACTCTTCGCAAAGGTTATTTTTACAGCTGAAACTTTACTACAGTGAGTTCGTTGTAACTTACAACTTGTAACGAGGAAAAGCCAACTGAAAATTTACTGTTTGCTAACAATACAATAGAAAATATGACGAGAAAATATTCAAGCATAAATTTTCTTTCGTCGGAAGGTAAACTTTCAAACGGTGTCAGACAGTGTTTGTCTTTTTGTCATTTAAGTGGATTTAAAGATCTGTTTTTCCGAATAAAAAGAACTTGAATATCCAGTTTCATAAAAAATATTGAGTCTATAACTCGCATTTTTACTTTTTACAGAGCGATTGTATTTTTCATCGATTTTGATAGTGCTTGAAACTTGAAATACTAAATGGTTGTCATCTCGATATCAATAATTGAATATCCTTAAAGACTTTGATATGTTTTAAAGGAAAACCGCAGCGTAAGAGCAGATCGACTAAGTTCGCCTCATCTTGCTTCTCGATTTATCACTTTGATTCACTTTCCGTGAACCTTTTCATTCCAAAAGTTTCGTTATTTTTACGCTCTGATCAAGATCCGAACTCTACCATTATCAAGGGACAAATGATTTAAAAAAAATAAAATGAACACGCGAGAAACTAGAGCCTGACGTGTGATGACGAATGATGACGACAAATATTATTTTGGCTTCAATTTTTGGCTTCGGTTATCATTCCAGTTATTCAAATGTTGAGTTCACTGCACATAACTTGCCGCAGAAAGCGCCATTTTGAATTATGAATTTTTCGTTTACCTCCCCCCTGATTTATTTCTAAATACATGTTTGTTGAATTTGTATTTTTTGTATATTCTTAGTTATTTTAACAATGTTATTTTGCATTTAAGTCATTTTATGTTTACAAAAGAAACACACAAAAATCAAGGTTATATGATATATGCTAGTATGTACATCAGTGAAAATGTAACTTAAATTATAAAATGGAAATGTAGAATATGAGGGCAGGAGATATTCCATTTTTGATTTTATAATTTCATAGGGCAATACGCAACCCAATAAGGAAAACAGAAATCCATTTTTTCTTTGAATGGCAAAAAGCAGTACCAGCTTTTGAAACAACGACGCCAGGTTTAAGATATCTTGATGAAACTCAACGTAGTTAAAGCACCTTGCGTACATTAGAGAGTTTTTGATGAGGACTCGTTGACCAATGAAAATGTCAATGTGCAATCAAGCTAGAAAGAGAATCTGAAAGATGAAGATAAGTGTGTAAGGATGGAAGTGAAATATTTTTATTTTTTGTCACAATTTATTAATTAAGTTTGGCAAATCTTTTTACCTCTTGATGCTTATAAAGCACTTAGTGAACACAAGAATACCCCGAGTCTATGTAGGTGTTGACAGTTTGTTGAGTTCATTGGGTTTCACATAGGCTTACGGTTATACTGTGGCCGTACAATGCATGACAGACTGGTATACAAGATCTGTTGTTGCCTAATCGTTGAAGATATTTGATTGTGGGAAAATTTTATAGGAGTGAGGATGAAAAGTTAAGCAGTAAGGATAGAAAGTCGAGGCTGGAGTTAAAAAGTAAAGGTGGAGAACACAATCTGCATTTTTGTTTCCTTTTTGTCAAGCCTCCACTTATCTCATTCACTTCAATCAAGTAGTCAACCCATTCAAAATTGTAATTGCTCTAAAGGAACACGTGACTTATTTTGACCAATTACATTTGATAATTGGCACTAAATTTGCCGATCCTTCACGCGCCATGTTTAAATGGATTTTTTCCTAATACCACAGATATGTATCTATTCTGTGCTAATACAGTCTTTATCGTAAGTATATATGTGAAATATTGCATTATTTGTTCAATAAATGAGATTTATAGCATCATAGTGAGTTAACTTGTCAAATACACGACTATTTGTCTTGAAGGTATTGAAAAATCTTTCGCGTACTGAGCAAACTTGTTGTCGACAAGCCACAGAGAGTCTCACGGCTTGCTTTCTTTGGTACAAGGTAGGATGGTTTTGATGACCATAAGAAATAAATATTAACGGTTTGTTTACCATTTCCTGAAATTATTGCTGAATATTTGTATTTTAGTACAAGAAATCTTAGACATAGTATGATGTCTCACTAGTTCATTTCATTTAATATACATTTACCTACGTGACAGTGAATCAAAACATCTACAAAACTGTAGACGTTTTGGTTAGAGATTACGAGTCTCAGGAGTTAAGATAGCATTGTTGGATATAGGTTTATTTATATTTTTAACTACTTATTAGCTTTGCAATATGGTTTAGTGTGTAATATTGTGTATTTTGCTACACTTAAATTAAAAACTAATTATTGTTCTTTGAAACTACCCCCTAACTTCCTAAACTTTTGAAATTGAACTTTCGAGTCCTTGGTCATAATGTCACATAACAATGCTTGATAGAAACGATGTTACACTAGAGACATTTCTCAAATATAATGATACCACATCTATATCTTTAGTTCTATTATGGAACATAGGATTTCTGGTGAGGTTAATTAAGTGGTTCGGATAGTTCCTTTCGCGCCAAGCCAATGTGACACGATCATCCCAAGATTAGCTTTAGTTGGCTGTAGTCACATTCAGACGTCATGCTGGGATTGCACCAGAATGGATTAATCAGTCACATCTACTTTCATTTCCATTTATGGTGCGCTACTCATCAGTATCTTCTTGACAATTTTCACCTTGTTCATTTCATCTTCTTTGGCTGATGTAGGATTTGCTTCCCTTTGTTCTGGAAATTATGCTTGAATTGTCCTTTTGGGGACAATCTCATGCAAATGTCCTCTTTGTGCATGAGTGAATAATTCCT